AATATGCATTATGCTCCGCGGGCTGTTCACGTGATCGGCGATTGCCGAAAGGTGTCGCGCGTGAGTTTGCGTAACGTCGTTACGACTTCACAGCAGAGAAACGACGGCGAGACGACTGACATTAGGCTAATTCGTGATTGCTATTCGGAAACGGACAGAAATCATTACGCGACGCATATCTCGCCGTTTAGAGATCGGATCAGACTATTGCAATCGTATGCGTCTTACTTTACAGGCCATTGCAGCGTTCGAGTAAAAAATTGTTGTTGTCTTTTATCTCATAATTTTTATAATTTTCACATTCAGATGACAAGTGTTACGTATAACGCAGAGTCACCGTGCTTTATTATCTGGATTATTATCTGTAACATTTTATTTATCGTCGCACTCAGATTGAAGATTATTCCTTGGCACGGTAATCTGAAGGTTGGTCGAATATTTCAACAATATTTGCAATGTTTCAAAAATTATATATCGCTCATTATCATACAATATACAGGTAACACGAAAAACAAGATTTTTCAGAAAATAAATTTTTGACCGTTTTAAATCAAAATTTTGTAATATTATTTTTAAGTGCGATAATATTATTTTTGTGATGATTCATAATAACTGATTATAAAAAAATTGTTATCATAACTGTATAACGTATTGCGTGTAAACTTTTATTATAAAAATAAATTCTTAAAAAAACCCTTTTTTATTTACAACTCTTGATGATATTTTATCTTCTCTTTTCAAATAAGAATTTTAGAAGTTCAATTATGCTTGTTATGCTTAGATCTAGCAATAAGAACTCAAAGACATTTTTCTTTTGCAAATAACTCAAAAGTAATAATTTTTAAGTTTTGTTGTAGTAAATGATATATTATATAGAAATCCCAAAAACATTACAGAATAATCCAGCAATGTTGTAACATTCACATCTTTTTGAAAGGGAGAAGTTCCAATTCGAGATAAAATTCAAGATAATTATATTTTATTTGATATAATTAAAGTTAAATAATTTTATATTTTTAAAAGTTTTATAAATTCTTCAGCATAAATTCTTCATACGCAAGAAAAACGTGGTCGTACAATCATCTTGTTGTTTTGCAAATTAGATTTTGCAAGCGGAGGAAAGAAAACTAGATCACGTCCTCGTCCTCAAAGACGCGAGAAAAATCGCGAAACGGGAGAACCTCGGTGCAAACGATAAAAGCATGTTTCTCTAAACACGATCGATCGTGATATCACGTGTAATCTACGCGTGACTGCGTGTCGTGGCTGCTCCCTCGATTTCTCTTGATATTCACAGCGTCAATACGTTCGATGCGCAATAACGGCCTTTGATTGCGTCCGCAAGAACAGAATCCAACGGTAAAATAAATAAGATTCGGTTTCTTTGTTGTTTCATACTTCAAATAAAATTTACATTCTGTCGATTACGCACATATCTTCGCAGGGAGAATCTATGATCAGTCGCATTTCATGCGTATTTTATCGGAAATAATATAACATAGCATAACAGAGAACTGCTAGACTTATATCACAATTGAATATATCTAAAATACAAAACAAAGATAAAAAATAATTTACACTTTTTTCCTATCACAATATAAATGAAAATATTTTATTGCGATATTTAACTGAATAGCATGCGTAAATTTAGAAATGCAAAGTATAATAATGTATAAAAACAAGAAATTTTTATCTCGATGAAATATACATCGAATTCGTGAATATTTCATGATATATTGAGAAATAAGACACGCAATAGATAATAATAATGATCCAGTAGTATTACTTAGATTTGCGTATTCACAATATAGATATAAGATATTAGTCCTTAAGTATCTAAATCTATAAATTATATATCTTATTAACAAATCATTCATTCGTTATAAAAATCAATAGGCAATACAAGTTACATTTTTGCAATAATTTGTTTTATAGATAGGTGCGATCACGTCGAAGAAAATATTATGAATGGCGTTTTCTCCATTTTTATTACTTTGTAACAGATCATTCGATACAGGGTGCTTTCCATTTAGTGACACAAGTCGACGCAGTATCGTTTTATCCTTGTTACTCATTGAATGCCAAGATAGATTTGTGTGTCACTAAATGGAAAGCACCCATAAAAGCGTACAAGTATGCGCCTAACACACAGCTACGTACGGGCTGCACTTCGTCATCGAATTCAAAGAATGTCCGCGCGGAAACTATGCCGATCTCTAAAGAATATTCAAAAATCAGTCGCGCGAAGAGGACTTTTATAATAGCGTTACCTGCAGAGATACTTCCGCGATTTTTACAATTCCGAGAACCGGCTCGTTACGTCGCCTTTCGCTAGACATTTCGAGAGTGCCAAGCATAGTCGCCCCACTACCTGCCAGCTTAGCTAAACGACACAAACTTAACGACTATGTCTATCCCAGATGGCGAGATTTTTCATCGTATATATTCCCTCTCACACACACACACACATATAT